GCTGAACCCAGCCCTGTTCCCTGCCTATGCAGGGGGTCGGACTCGATGATCTATTGAGGTCCCTTCCGACCCTAACATCTATGAACATCTGCAGATGCTTCTTCAGCCTGACAAAGGGAATTTACACCCAAAAGCCAGCAAAGAAGAATTTTTCCAACTATTTGAGTTGGTCTAATTAGAAGATATCAGATTTACCCAAACAATCTTGTCTGCCTATGTCCTTAGACCAACACAGCTACAACCTATACCCCTCTAGCATAACATCTGGCACTTTTGGACTTGCAGCATTGTTTTTCACTGGACCATGGGGGGATGCCTGCTGGCCCCTCCTGATCACTGCCCAGCCAGGTCCTGCCACCCTTGGGGCCCCTCTGCTGCCTGACCGGGCTGGGCCCATGGTAGCAGGATCCAGCGCGGCATGCAGGGACCACATACTGGGCCCAGCTAGGCCCTCCAGGGTGGAGTTGGGGCCCTGGGGGGAGGTGGGGGGGGGGATTATGTGCTTTGTTTTTGGGGAGGGCTGCACCCTGTGGGGGCCAGGGGACCCACCCCTCCTGAGCAGCCCCCCCACAAGGTCCCCCACACCCACAGTCACCCTAGCAATCACCCCACACTTACCTACACACCAACCCACATCCCACCACACACCCACCTGCCTTCCCCCACACCCCTTCTTACCCCCTTCCTGCAAAGAAGCCCACCTCTCCACCAATCACGCACCCATCATGTGTACTTTGGTTTTCTTTGCACATCAACACATGGGTATTTAGAATTTATTTTATCATGATGATAGAGACACTGGTAGGCTTCCACATTGCTTTAACATTTTAAATATACCAATAAAGCATTGCGCGCGCTCTCTCCCTCTCTCTCTCTTTCGATATATATGTGTGTGTGGAGTGGTCTTTTGTTTTAATTGTGGAAGAACATGGTTTTTGTGGGGTATTTTTAAAAATGGATTTTGGGATGCTGCTGCAGCAGTTCAGCTGGCATAAGGGGTAGTGTCCCGAGGTACCAAGTGGCTGGGCTCCTGAGAGCGAGTAGCCCTGAGCTGCTTGCCAGGGCAGCTCTTTATATGAATGGGGCCTGGACAGGGCAGCTTTTTATACTGCTGGGGATGGCACAGGTGCTGGCCCCAGGCTCTAACTCCCCCTGGTTGCGGGAGGAGCCAGGCAGGGTCATTTTGCCCCAAGTGGCACAATTTGCTCCACAACAAAGTGCATGTCTGAGCATGTGCTCTGAGGCAAAAAGCCCTGACTCAAATTTGCACTGCTTCTGTTTGAGCTTCTGCAAGTGCATGTGCTTGCATGTGTGGATGCACCCATACTCCTCTGGGCCAGCTGCCAGTGGACTGTGGTTGCAGGGTTGGCCTTTGTGTGGCACTACTGCCATTTGTGTCCCTTGCCTGGCCATCTGGGCAGCTATCATTCAGAAGATGTTCCGGGTGTGGTGGCCTGCTTTGAACTGTCAAAGCATGTCCTCCTGGCCCCATTTGTCCAGCAGGTCAGCCATAGCCAGATGGGTCCAAGGTGCCAGCTCTGAGCAAGCAGGGTCCTGCCACTGGTCTCCCTAGCAGGAATTCTGGTGTTCCCTATTGGAAAACTGAAAAATCCCTGATTTTAAAAAATCCCAAAGTCTCTCACTCTCTAAAATACCCCCAAATCCATGTCCCCCCCCGACCCCTTACTCACTGCCACTGGAGCTTTGGTGCTGAAACACTAGGCCATTGACAGGACCTAGGTGGCCGCGTGTTTCATCACCAGGGCAAGAGGCAACCATAGAGACGCTCTGGCAGCCAGAGTGTCTCTATGGAGGACCCAGCCTCTGGTTGCCTCAGAGCATGGTCAGGGACTTTGCTTTTTTTAGACCCCTGGATATCTAACTTATCTCCCTGCGCTGCAAACTTACAGTGCAGGGAACATTTTTGTTTCCCACACATGCCTGTTGCCCTACCTCAAAGGGATTTGAGGCAGAGCAAGAGGCACATGCACACATAGTGGTTAAGGCCACTCAATAGTAATACATTCCTGACTGAAGAGAAAACTACGTTGAATGGAATTTAGAGGGTTAATGTTGTAGGTTGACTATCTTTGTCACCTTTGGATTTCTTCTAATACTATATTCTTTTTGATAATTTCACGTGTCTATCTCTTTTCTTTGTCTGCTCCTGCCTGCCCCACAACATGACAATTGTAGCTTTTGGAACAGAACCTAGTTGCTGGAAAGGAGCCAGCAGCAGAAGTACAAAATGTTCTTTTTGCAGTTAATTTTAAAAACTTGTGTTTTTCAAGTTATTTTGCTCCAAAACTAGGTATCTTTATTTGCAAACACAGTCCAAATTTCCATATATTATGGAAAAGTCAAAATGCAGGGGGAAAACAAATCAAACAAAAAAATGCAAAATTTAAAATGTTAGGAATTCCTGTGATTATTTTTTTGTTGTTGTTGTTTTTCCTTGTGCAAACTAGGAATGGTTTTTGTGAAATCTATACATTTAAGAGCCAGAATAATAATGGGAAAGTATTGCCTTTTCTTAAGTAGCCCCTCATTTTTGTTATCCCACCCACACCTATTTCTGTCTGTCTTTGCCTTAGCACTAATTGGCTTAATCCATTATCTACTTTCTACACAAGCATAACTTCTAATTTTAACCTCCAGTTTTACTTAACCATTTCTTAATTATTCATTGCTACATCTATCTTTAATGTTCTCTTGTCTGCTTAATATACCACAGTTCATTATCAAGCTTCTAATATATTTTTGAGGCTTTGATATATTTTTCTTGAATGTGAAAATCATAATTAAGCTGTTAAGCAAACTTAAAAATGCTAATTTGATAGCCTGCTCATAAAAGGAAATACAATATGTATATTGGTTCTTATCGACAACTGGGGGAGTTCATGGTTGACTGCCTGGCAAAATATAGTCCTTTTCCAGATAAGTAGAAAGAAAAATTACTGAAGTTACCTTAATATTTACACACCTTCATATAGCTTTGATATTATTTCTAGTAATACCAATCATTTTTGTTTGCTTGTTTGTTTTCTCCTTCATGGCCCCTCTTGGGCACTCTATAATCTGTTTGGAAAAAAACTGACTTCATGCTGGAAGTCAAACTTTTCATACAAGATGCTGTCCAGTAGTATTGTCTTAACTTGAAAAAATAAATTATATTTTTCAGCTTTTATAAATGAAATGGAAAATACAGATTACAGGCTTAAATTTAATGTTGAATACTGTGCTTAAAATATGAAAGCATAAAGTAATTTACCAGACATGTAGAGCTGGCTGAAATGAACTGAATCTCCTACTCTGGAAATGCTATGAATAAGAATGCCAAGTATGGAATGATCTAGAGATCTATGACATAAGTCTTTGTTTTTTCTGGTTTGCTTTGCTTTGCTTTGGCTTTTTTTTTTAAGTTTAGAGTGTTACTACAGTTGTTTGATGTATTTGAGAAACAGCAAAACTTTAGAATACTCAACTTTTAATGGAGTTCTAAAAAGAAACTATTGGATGTTTGCACAAAGTATCATATTTACTTGATTCCAAGACAAATCTCCCTCTCTGCTGCCACTCCAGCAAGATGGCAGGGGGTGCAGTCACTGGACAGGCAAGGGGGGTGGGGACCAGCCTGCTTGCTCCCCATTCCGGTAGCAGCTCCTTCTGTTTTCCTAATTGCCCTCCAATAATTAGATTCTAGGCATGGAAATCATAACATTTGTTATTTTCCATGTCTAAAATCTAATTAAATCTTTAAATTCATATATTAAGTGATCCATAGCCTTGAATTTATATAGGGAAGAGAGACCATTAACATGCACAGTTGTTGATACTATATTCACCATATTTACTTGACTACAAGATGACCCTGAATACATAATTTATATGCAGTTGAAGCTCAGGGCAACCTTGTTTGGCTCTACCACATGGACTGTGGGGCTAAACTAATGATGTGACAGGTTGAGGGAAGCGGGGTGACAGGGATTCTGGGTGAACTGTTTTGGGCCCTGTTTGGTGATGTTTGCCAGACATTTAAGGCTGCTGAAGAAATGGGAATAGTTGGAAATGGGAAGCAAAGGTACAGCTCAGCTGTGAGAGTGAAGAAGGAGGTGAAATGTAGTAACTCGCCATGACTTGAAAAAGAGCACTGAGGGGGCTTGCATGCAATAGGTATTACCATATCTTGTTCAAATGGGTTGCACAAATATATGCTTGTGGTAGATTACCATGTGGGCTGGGTGTTTTGTTTTTTGAGCATGACTAAAAAAACAAAGTTTTGGCTGCATTTAATCAACATCATAGTTGGCTTCCATTGAGCACATGCTGCTTTTAGCAACAGTTTAATGATGATGTATGTAATGAAGTTTCCTTGTATGTAAATACAAGACAAGGAGCTCTTTTTTTTTTTCCCCCCCATGTTAATTGGGGGGTAAAAGCCTAATCTTGTATTTGAGTAAATATGGTAGTACTTCCAAACAGGAGGCAAGTACTCATTCACTAATGATTTGGATTGTCATTTGCATACTCGTGTGCACAGAGGCTCACTTCTGGCATTGGATGAAATTAAAATGTATTTATTTTAATTTATTCCCCACAAAGGGAAACATTTTTTTTACTTATTAGAATGTTAGGTTATTGAGGCTTCTATTTAAGCAATTGAAAATATTGATATTGTATAAAATGGCAAAAGCCCTTTGAAAAGTGGATAAAATTGTTTTTCATTATAGTTCATATTAAATACACTATTTTCTATATTTGCTCTGTATGATAGGTCAATTGAACTGCACCATGCTGTCATGAGTCTTGAATCCTGTTGCTGAACCAGCAGACTTCCTATCCCTCCTGGAGTGTAGCATCCTTTAGGCTTTCCTAATGACTTTAACGTTGTGAGGGAAGATGCAGTTTTAGCCACAAAGACCTGTTACGCTTCCCCCTCCAACTCTTCAATCAAGTATCAATTAAAATGCCTTTGTTTGTTTTTAAAGTGATGATATGAAAGGGCTATGATAGCTAATATAATTCAAAATTTGTTTTCAACAGCATCGACATACGTTTTAATAATATTAATACATGATTATATAATATTTCTTTTTCAAATTATTTTTTTAATAAAACAAATGACAGACTTCAGAATCTTATTGATCAAATAAAGATGCTGATTAGTCAAGGAAGACTGAGAAACAAATCTGCAAATCAGTGTGCTTGTCGTCTTATTTTACAAAATTAAGAAATAAATGTACAATATTCATTATGAGGATATGGAGCTCAGAATCCTCAAAGAAGTGTACTGCTTGTTCCCCTCTTTAGGTATGCACAATTTTTTGCAGTCCCTCTCAATTGAACTTGGTTATTAATGGCTAATTTATTTTTTAATACAAAGTTTCTTTAGTAATTTGTGTAAAAGGAGGATTTGCAGTATAAGAACTCAGTGATTGCACTGAAAGGAACTTCAGGATCATCGTCCCTACTTAAGTATTGCACCTTTTATGAAAGGAAAAAAAAAATGTTTTTTAATGCAATTTTTCCATAGCTACATAGTGAGTGTATTGGACAGACCTCCATTAAGCAAACTGATGCAATGTTTTATTGTCATGTTAATTAAGATAAACCTATAATTTCTGCACCATCAGTATATTTATTCCAAACTTACAGACTATAGCTCTTGCTGTAGCAGGTAGTACACAACACCAGCACTTTTGTTTGCAACCTGTATACTCTTGTGTTGTGGGGTTTCACAAAGGTCTCCTATAGCACCTTGGAGCAGCCTCCCTGCATGTGTAATTACTAGAGCTGTGTGAAATGGCACCATTCCATTTTGACAGAACGGCATTTCGTTTTGATTTGAAACTGCTGTTCTGTTTTGCCCATGGGCTATAATGGAGAAGCTGGAAACTTTGTAATTTCTGGCCTGATTTGGATGAATCTTGCAGGAATGGTAGCCCCTTCTAAGGGCATGAAGCTTGCCAAGTTTCAAGGGGATGAGTGGAAGGATTTTAGGGAAACTGCACTTCAAATTCTTGAAAGCAAAAAAACTCATGTCACGTACATGTGTTAAGCCACGGTTGGGTCAAAACTGCAGGCATGGTAGCTCCTGTTGAGGCAACGATGCCTGCCAAGTTTCAAGGAGATAGGTGCAGGGGTTTGGGGGAAACTGCACCTCAAGCTGCTGACAAACAAACCTGGTGACAAGCCTGCCAGCTGTCAAGGAGATGGGTGCAAGGGGAGTCTGGGTTCTGGGGCCCTGCACCTCTAGCTGCTGACAGGCAAAACTTGTGACATAGGTGGGTGACTGTGTTTGTTAAGGTGCGCTCTTATTCACCTGACACCAAGGCAGAAAGCCGGGCAGTTCAAACAATGCTGCCTTCTATGCAGTTTTTCCAGAGCAATGGGGTTAGAAGGGACCTCAGGGAAGGATTGGCCAGCTACACAATCCATAATGAGAGCACGTGTTTGTTAAGGTGCGCTCTTATTCACCTGACACCAAGGCAGAAAGCCGGGCAGTTCAAACAATGCTGCCTTCTATGCAGTTTTTCCAGAGCAATGGGGTTAGAAGGGACCTCAGGGAAGGATTGGCCAGCTACACAATCCATAATGAGAGCACTTTTTTTTTTTTTTTTTTTTTTCTCCTTCCCCCTC